ACAAAGGGCTCGTTCCGATCGCGGCTGGAGTCGAATTTTTTACCGCTGGCCAGTTTGCCTTTGTAGTGGACGTAAACCTTGTCCCCGATCATGGGGGACTCGTCTTTGCTCCCGGGTCGTTTAATGATCTGAGAGAGAGAAACCACCCGTGAGAAGGGAGGCCACGGGGCAGCTAAGGATGCGTATGGGGAGAGAGAGAGATACACATACACATGCATTTTTATATACACACACACGCATGCATATATATAAAAAAATACATACACGCATGCATAAACACCCCAGTGCTGCTCTAAACCAAAGGAAGGCTCGAGGGGGAGTCATTCAGTTTGTCCTTCCATCAGCCCCTAAAAATAAATCCCAAACCGGAGCCACGGTGACGGAGCGGGCCAGGGCTGGGAGCAGAGACCTGCCTGTACTTTGCGGAGGTGTCTGGATAAACACCGTGGTTCGAAACCTGAAGCGAATGCAATTACGCTCGCTTTCTGTCCGTACACATTTTACTCGCAGGGGTGTGTCATTTCACTACTCACTTCTTGTCAACACTTCTTTTTTTTTGAATGCTACAGCCTGGAACAAGCAGTTCTCGAGCTGAGGATGGAGCAGGGGAGGATGCTATTCTTAGAGGAAAGGTCCTATTCAACTGGAGAAGAGCAAGCGCTGGGGAGCAGAACTATCCAGAAATGGCCCTGACTATGACAAAGGGGTTGTGGAGCAGACTGGATGACCTCAGTAATGTGCTCTTTCTAATGTCTGTGAGTCACACACAAAAATGCTTTGTGGATTTACAGCTAATAATCTGATTAGGAACACAATAGCAGCGAAATTCATTGAGCAGCCTGAATCCATCAGTCTCAAACACCACTCCATCCTTCTTTATTCCAAGTGATGCTCATCTCCTTTGCCTTTCAAATAAAAAAAAAATATCAGTCCCACAGCCCTGAAAGTACTACGTGACCCCAAAGGCTGGGGATGCAGCCCCCCGACGTGACCATGCACCCCAAAATGCAGAAAGAAAGGCAGGACCCTCCTGGCAGCCCCCTCACCTTCAGGACCCCCCGGTCTCGAGCCGGCGTGATGTCCTCCCCGCGCTCGGCGAGAGTCGCCGCCTGCACCTCCCCTTCGCTCTTGGTGGCCTCATCAGTGGTCATGGTCTCCTTGCATAAGCCCCGGACCTGGGGAGACACGGCACGCACCCCGTCAGCCCGGCAGGACCACGGGAGGTGGTGTAAGAGGAAAGGGTTAAAGAAAATAAGCAGCTCGCTCTGCTGCGGGGCCGGGGCAGGAAGCTTCGAGCACATCTCAACCGTGCAGAGCGGAAAATCCCTTCCCAGGGGCCACCCAGGCTCCGCCGAACCACAGGGCGCAGGAAACCCCAATGTGCGACGCTGGCCGTCCTCACTGCCCGGGGACGGCCCCGCGGCTTCGTCTGCTGCAGCGACGGGGACGCTCGCGGAGCTCCCCAGCCTTCATCTTCAGCCTCCCTAGGTCAACACTGCAGCCCCGGCATTGCCCCGGGAGGCTCCCCCAGCAAGAGTTTTACCCAAGAAAGCACCAGCAGACAACGTACGTGCCAGCCGACCGACTCCTGACACCGGGCAAAACGTGGAAACTCATCTCGGGGTGCTGCACCCAAACCACTGAGATCTTCTGCGGCGATGCTCTACCGAGCATCCGTTTTGACGCAGGACTAGCACTGAAGCACCTGCATCGGCAGACATCGAGGGCAGCGGTGAAGCCAGGAGAGACGAAAGTGCTCGCGGGCGAGAAGCAAAGGGCTGATGGCCACCAAGCTTCACCCGTCCCTTCTGGCTCACGTAGAGGTGGGCACCCCTTGGGCACGGGTGCTAGAAATATGTGCACCAGGCTAGCGTTTGCCTTTTGAGTCATTTTATACAGTTCAAGATAATTTTCCTCAAGGAATTACCTATTTGTCAGAGACTCTTATCATTCGGAAAGCAGCACCTCAACCCCAGGCAAACCTCACTCCCTCTTGCCCACCACGAACACCCCAAAAAGAGAGAGCAGGCTCCAAGTCTCAGGCAAGCAAAGCAAGCTAAGCATCACCCTGCATGGAAAAACCTGAACGCACAGCAAGCATCTTCTCCAAAAACTAAAGCAAACCCAACACCCAAAGAATCCCAACTATTTGGGTGGATAAAGTGAAAATTCACAGCAAGACTCTAAGAAATTGGGTTTTTTTGGGCAAACTGCTGGAGCACCATGCTCCCAACATCACCGCGTGAGCAGCCGAGGTGCCAGAAAAGCTACGTTTTTCGTCAAACGCAGATTTTTTCCAATGGTGCCTGGTGAAAAGAGAATTGCCTACGGTTTAAAAAACATATTTCCTGATGATTTCCTTCAGACCGTAAGGCTATTTTGGTAGCCGCACTGCTGCGTGACACGTAATCAAGGAAACATGTGACGGAGAATTAGAAAGCGATGGATTTTTTAAGACATAAACCAGACCTATTAAAGTCCCTCTAATTGCGAAACTTTCCCACAGTCTTCGGTGTGGAAGCTGATGTTAACCAGCAGGAGAAATCATTCATTCGGGGGATTCAGAAAGAGCAAAGAAAGGATGTTTTGAGCTCCAAGGGCAGATAAGTCGTGCTGCAAGAAGAATTGTGCTCCTCACACCCGGGTGGAAAGGGAAGAGCTGGAGCCCGGCCCCCCCAGCACAGGAAGCCACCGAGACACAAAGAGCCCTGCAATGGAAGAAGCAAATAGAAAAATAAGGGAACTACTTGTTGCAATGCTCAATTATCACAGTCTTTGGGGTAATGAGATTTTGCATCTGCTCCCTTTCCCCTGCTCTGCTGAGGTTTCAGACGGGAACACCTAAAAAAACCACTAAAAAAAGCAACTTTGGTGGCGAGACTTGTCATCTCACGGGTATTTACACATTGGAAAACATGCCGTTGGTTACTTCGGAAGAAATTTTTTACGCTGAGGGTGGTGAGGCACCGGCACAGGTTGCCCAGAGAGGTGGTGGATGCCCCATCCCTGGAAACATTCCAGGTCAGGTTGGACGGGGCTCTGAGCAACCTGATCTAGTTGAAGATGTCCCTGCCCACGGCCGGGGGGTTGGACTAGATGCCTTTTGGAGGTCCCTTCCAACCCAAACTATTCTATGATTCGGGCGCTCAGACGGCCTCCAAGCCACCATGGTCCACGCTGCCCTGCCACCACAGTGGCCATCCTCTTGGAGATGAGCGAGGAGGTAGTGGTGCCCACCCCAGCCTGGGCACGCTGCCGGCACCGCGCACTGGCTCAGGGCTTCCCGGCACAGATCCTGTGCAGGACCAGGGACGCAGCATCCATAACCCATTTATTAAGGACCAGGAGGAGCCCAAAAAAAGGGGAGCAGCTTGCAAAAGAAGTGCCACCTCCTGGGGCAGAACCTCCTGAGGTCTACCAAGCAGCAACCGCTAGGATGCAGAATACGGATGGGGAGGTGCTGGCTCTGGCTCGCCGGTTGCTAAATCCCACCAAGAGACATCTAAAAATACATCATACGCATCCTTCTCATTATTTTTCTACGTAAGCAATTAGTGGAGTCATCCAGGGAAGCTGGCCAAGGCGAGCGGGAGGGGAGATGCTCTGCGTCAGAAGCAGTGGGAGGGATGGAGCCCACAAGATCAGCTATTAAGATGTGGTCCACGTTATGAAAGAGCTCAAGACTTCTCCGTCCAGCGAAAACGGCTCCAACTAGGTTAGAGAAAAGACCGCGCCGCTCCCGCTTATCTCCGGTCTGGAGCAACAGAAGGAGGCTGGCTGAGGTCCAAAATCCCAATTAATTTGAAACAAACAGTTGTAGGGGGAGAAAAAAAAAAAAAGTATCTGCTACTCCCCGAGATTTAAATACCAGGGAGCCGGGGACTGTCACCGAGAACCGTGCAAGCTTGCTGGAGGTGCCAGAGCCTGAATCTTCTCATTGTGGGACCACGTGTGCTCCAGGGAGAGGATTAATTAATTGCCCCATGCAAAAGCCTCTGGGTGCTTCTGACGCCCCAAGCAGATCCCGCTTCTCCCGTTGCTGTTACCCACAAGCTTAACATTGTAAGTCTGTAAATGAAGCCAGGCTGAACCATCCTCCCTCCTCCGAACACCCTCGCTGCTTCGTTTCCCTGGGATGTAAATACGGACGGGTGGGAGGAGGAGAGAGGGTGGGGAAGGGTTAAACCCCCCCCCGGGCTGGGGGTCCTCCCTCCACCGAAAGGTGCAGCAATTTGCAACGCATAAGGGCACCGCTGAAAGGCCACCGAGAGGGAAGGGATTTCCACGCACGGAGAATAAAAGCGATGGGAAGGTGATTAAAGAAATCCAGAGCATGGCCCAGCAAAGGTGCCCGTCACAACGAGGTGGTTTTGCACAGTTTGAGGTGGTTTTGCACAGCTTGATCCTTCGCATCCTGAAGCAAAGTCCCTTGCAGGAGCCTGTAAACCTCCAAAAAAATGCCTCTGCTTGAGCTCGGAGCCCAACACCGGGGTCTGGTCCATGCCTCCAGCCACCGCCCGGGCGCTCGTGGCTGGGCACGGGGCTGCCTTGCAGCCGCAGGGACCCAGAGCTGCCACCTCCACCCTCCCCAGGCCCTGCAAAAGGGCAAGGGTATTCCTCAGAGCTGAAGGAAAGGGTTTGGGGTTTTCACTTGTTTGCTTTTAATCAGTCCCCGCTCTACCGGCTGATTTGAAAATTCAGCGTAGCGGTTTAATCTGTAATTTAAGAGCTTATAAATAAATAAACAAGCTTTAAAATCCAGAGCTTTGGACATCTGGACACAATCTCTCCTTCAAGTGCAACTATTTCAGTGTTAATTAAGATGAACTACATTAAAGAGCTTCTAGCTGAGCAAACAAGGAGGCTCGCGAGTTCAGGAGACACCTACGCGTGCACAACGCGTGCTCCACTTGGACCAGCACATCCCGAGCCACGGCGCCAGCGCACGCCTGGTCTCAGCCCCGCTAAATTAATACAAACTCCTCGAATTGCTCAAAAGCAACAACTGCTGCGTCTTTCCTTCTCGCAAATCCACCGTCGTCTCCCCAAATGCTGCCCTGCACGCCCGGTGCAAGCAGTTGCAAATATCATCTCCCTCCTCCAGACGGAGAGCGGCATCACCGCGATTGGTGCTCACGAGCGAACGAAGCCGCGATGGACGCCCACGAGCAATTAAGCCACAATCGATGCCCACGTGCGATTGAGCCGCCCGCAGCGGGCACGGGCTGCCCGGGCAGAGCACCCACCTGCACGCCCCGACACAGCCGGGCAGCGCTACGGCTTTGACCCCGATTTTAGCATCCCCCATACAATCAGACATTAATTCAGCTGCCGCTTCAGAAAAATGCATTCTGTGCTTTTTTTGTCTATTTTTTTTTAAAGCCAGTACGACAAAAGGCTTTTTTTTTTTTTTTTTTTTTTTCTCTTTTTAAGCTGTGCAGCGGCTGGTGTCTTCCCCACCTTCGTTATCCTCCGAGCCCTGTGTGTTTTCCAGGCTGTCTGCAAGCGATGCCAGACACACGCTCGTGGAAAACCAGGCAGCCGTGACCGGCGACGGGAGCATCTGGAAGCCCTTTCCCCTTTGCACGTGCCTTTCAAACGACGATCTTTGCAATGAAAATGCTGCGCGCCGTACGACACCAGCACATGCTGCGCAGAAGTCCACGCCATAAAAACAAACCATTTATTATTTTTTTTTTCCTCTCACAATCCCCTCTCCGCACAGATGTTGCTATCTTCCAGCCTGGAGAAATAGGAGAAAATTCAGAGCAGAGAATAGGATGCAGATGTCCGACCCCAGGCTGAGGACAGACAGGTATCGCACATGCTAGGGTTTCACCAAGCACACGATGCCGAGCCACGTTTCCTAGAAATCGGCATACCAGGCATTTGCCAGCTCCAAATGGAAACTTCACGTCGCAGATCCCTCCCGGAGGCTCACGGGAGGGGAAAGGGAGGGAGGGACGAGAAAGGCTGGGGAGGGTTTTGAGGGGTCTCACCTTGCCACCACGCGATCGCTGGAGAAGGTTGAAGGTCCTGGGGGGGGGGGGAGGGGGGCGTCCCTGGGAGGTGCCCACCCAGACACGGTGGGGATTTCACACAAGTACCTGGTGAGAAGAGGAAAAAAAAATTAAAAAAAAAATAATAAAATAAAAAACACACATGTGCTTTATTCGAAAACAGGATTTAAGAAGAAGGGAGAACTGAGACGGCGGTTTTAAGCCACAGACCACGTTCCACTACGGTCAGAAAGGGGCGATGAGACCATGGACAAAACCTCCCGTGGCAGCTCCTCCGCTCCCCGCGGCCACGGGAAGATGCTTTGACTCGCCGTTTCCATAAAACGGCATTTAGCATCTTAACATCAGCTTAAGAAAAAAAAAAAAAGGCAAAAAAACCCCCCCCGCTATATTCCGTCCAACTTTTTTATTGACCGTTGCTGAAAGTCAGGACAAAAATTAACAGGATGGAAAAACAAGAGCGGAGCGCTCTGGGGTTTGTTTTTAAGACCCACTTAGCACAAAGCGCTTTCGCTTCCATGGCACCGCAACAGCCCTAAAAGCTTTGGATTGCAACACGGGAGGGAGTTTCTTTAAAATGCAAAGGTCAGGCTAAAAAACAGTGAATGGAAACGCACAGGGGGGAGACGCGGGGCCCCGAATCCCGGCCAGCGTCACCCCAAATCCCGGCCCCTCGAGCCGGGCAGCAGCACGGGGATGCGCCTCCATCCTCCATCCCCAGCACACCCGTCGACAGATAACGAAGAACGACCCAATTAGCGCAGCAGCTGGGCTCTCTCCACCGTCCCACCGTGGTTTCGCTTCTCCCTCGATCGAGAAAACTATTTTTTCTAATAAAATATCTACTTACTGAGCAAACTGTCCCCGTGCAGCAGGAGAGGGGAAGACCGGAGCAGCGATTTTCCCCGGACGAGGGTGTTTTAAGATGCCTGCAACACCAGCCTGCGGAGCAGAGACCCAGGGAGACGGCGTTTGAGTCGGTAAGAAATTAAAATTGGGATTTCTAAGAAAATACGACCTGCTTAAGCCCGACAAGGCAGCCCCACGTAATCCCGGGACAGAAGGATGCACCCAGACATCGAGTGCCATTTCTCACACCCGTACATCACAGCTTGAATTAAAAAATTAACCTTTTTTTTTCTTTTAAATCCTGGCCACTTGACTTTTCCCCCCCTCCTTTAAAATAAACAGGGAAGCCATAAAATTTAAATTATCGCTAGCTGAATAAGACTCACATGGACTGATTTACTTCCTAGCGTGCACGTTGTGCAAGCAGCTAACATCCCGGCGGGCCAGTCATGGCAACTTTTATTCAAACAAAAAAACAAAACACAAACAGAGCGGCTTTAATTGCCCAGCACCCTGACGAACCTCCATCGCGCCCAGGGTGAACCGTGACTCACTGGGGGCTGAAGTGAACTCCCTGGTCTCCTTCATCCACGGCCGGTGGCTGCTCCCGGGTTAACTCCTTCTGCCCACGGAGACCCCGGTACCCCCACCCCGAGCATCCCCCCGAGCATCCCGGGGCCACCCGCCCCGTGGGGACACCCTGGCGAGGGATGCGGTCGCCGATCACCTCCCGAGGACCAGAAGGTATCGGTGCTATTGAGAAGAGGGGCAGGAAGGGAAGGTTTTTAAGCAGTTAAGAGAACAGCGAAGGGAGAAAAGGAAACTACCGCACGCGGCTAACTTAAATACAACAGTACGTGTTCCCGTCACACTTGCTTAATCATTTTGCCTAGCTAATATTTTTAAGCTTCTGAAGTGGTTTTAGTTAAGATCCAAGTTATAACTCATCTTTTTCCTTTTTCTTTTCTTTTTTTTTTGTTTAATATGTTGAATAAGAGGCTGCCCTCAAGTTTTAGCTGCAGCGAGAGGAAAAGCGAGCAGGACGGCTCGCTCCTCCCTGCCAGAATAAATATTTCAACAGAAAGCAAGATGGGTTCAGCCTGTCTGCATCCCCCAGGAGCGAGGTGAGCGCACCCACACCAGCGACATGCAAAAGACTTTCAGAAAGGGTTTTTCCTCCCCAGTTTACAATATAAACCCATTAAAAATAACCTGGCTCTTTTGCTGGTTATCTAGCAAGGCACCAGCAAGGATATGCTTGCTCGGTGGCTTTTCCAGGTTGCTTCAAAATCAGAAATCGCAGGGATAAAGCTCTTTTGGACTCGACCCTCTTGTGAGCATCCCATCAGCAGCCCGTGGTCCATCCCCTCCAGCGCGGGTACCCAGAGACACAACGCCCTCCGCTTTAACGTGAAATGGAAGGGGGGGAAGCAATATATTTTTTTTCCCTCCTTTATTCCAAAAGACAAACATACACTGGGGAAGGCAAAAGCCTATAAACATTTATGGGTTGTTGCTCTTCCAAGGGGAGAAGGTGCCAGGGACGGGATGCGGTCAAGGATTTTACACACCCATGCTCCGCGGCTCCTATCCCGCCTGCCCCCGAAGCCGTCCCCGGCCCCAGCGAGGCTTTCAGCTGCTCCCACTACAAAAATCACAACAAGCCTCTGCCACAAGCGGCACATCCCGAAAATACTGGAGAAAAGGGGAAGGCTGGAGCCGGCAGCGAAGCCTCTGCTCTCCATCGGCAGGGAGAGAGGCACCAGCCTGCACCCATCCCGCTCCTGGAGGGGCTGACGCAGCCTCGGAGGCTGGCAAAAACAGAAGAAGAAGAAGAAGAAGAAGAAGAAGAAGAAGTAGTGTGAAGAAGAAGTGTGAAGAAGAAGAAGAAGTGTATAAATAGCTGTTCCACACCCGCCTGAGCTTCTCAGGAGACGGCTGCCAGAGGGACCGAGCGCAGCATCCTAACAAGCTCGGTGGCCATTATATACAGACACTCACGTAACAGCAGGGAACGCGATTTCCTAATGCTTTCATAAATCAGGATTATGTAACTGGAGGAAGAAAAAAATACAGTAATATAGCCAAGCAGGTTATATAAACCATCTTTAAAAAGTGAGAAAGTACTTGACATCCCACTACCCACTCCTTGGCACCCTCTAACTGGGTTTTTTGCCATCGAAAATGAGCAGGCTCCTTTCATCGTGTCTTCTCCCCTGGTCAAAACAACCAGGGAGAACAGACCCAGCCAGGCTTTTCGGGACACTGGAAAGAAATATTCCACCTCTGGCTATTAAATGTGAAGTTCCCCTCTCCGTACGGCACATCCCGGTAAAGCTCGATCCCTCCATGGACGGCTCGGAGCATCCTCCTGGCAGCAGCTACACCAACAGGGAGCAAATTCAATTTTAAGAGACAGCTTGGGGGAACTAAAATAAATACAAAACGGGAATAAACCAGAAACACCTTGTTTGCCAATTCTGCTCCAATTTAGCCTTTTCTCCAGAACAAATCCGACAATTAAACTTGGATTTATTTTAATTTTTTTTTTTTTTTTTTAATTTCTAAAAGCATCTCATTGCTTGCAACAGATTTAGGGGTTTCTCCAACAAACTTTCAGCCAGGTGACTCTAAACCACAGCAACCCCCCGGCAGTGGAAATGCCGTATTTAATCACTTATTCCCCACGCGCAAGGGCTCGGCAGCACCTTGAGAGCCCCGGTGCCAAATTCCAGGGGGGATCCCCAACTCGGCATCCGGCATTGACGCGCGCCCAGAAATAACCCGGCGCCCGAGACCTTTTTTGAAGCCACGTGTGCACCAAGGGTCTATACATGCCAAATTATATCGGGCAAACGGCAATTCCCGGCACGTTGTGAAACACCAGCCTGTTCCCGCACCGAATCGGGATTTCTTGGAGAGGACAAAGAAACGCCACGAGCGGCCAAACCGACGGAGGGGGAGCGGGACTGGCGCCGACATCGCTGGGGGATGCTGCGAGATGCAAGGGGCTCAGCCCCGGGGCGGCTGGGGGCTGCCGAGGATGCTGGCGGCTTTGGGGGCGCCGGCGCACCGCCGGCCGGGCGCCC